CTTTTGCCAGGTGACCGACCGGAAGCAAATCGAAGGACCTCGGTCTGTCTCTCTAAGGCTCACCTGGGGGTGCTATTGCAGAGGGAAAAGAGAAGACGGAAGTGAAAGGGCGTGGCACGCACTACGGCTCAGAGAAAGGTCGGCCTCCCTCCTATCTCCTTCCCTTCCCCTCAGACCTCAGAACCTGGCACAATGCTGAGAACACAATACACCCTCAATAATGAAAACTCTCTCAACAGTCACTAACAGGCGTCTTCAAACTATGGCCCTCGGGCCACATGCGGCCTGCAGAGGAGTCTGATCCGGCCCGCCAGGTTTTTTGGGCAGTGAGTGCAGCCGAGGTGTTACAGTAGGAATTAGTAGTTCATATAGTCCGGCCCTCCAGCTCTCTGAGGGACCGTGATCTGGCCCCCACTTTAAAAAGTTTGAGGACCCCTGCTAGAACTTAGATCTTCTACAGATATGCTAAAATTTACTTGTGAGAATTCCTCCTTGATTCCAACTTGTGTTCCTGTACATCATTACTCTTCTATCACCTTTCTGCTCAGAAATTCCGACTCTTGGCTGGCTGGCAGGACAAAGTGGTTAGAGAGTCAAGAAATGAACCAGGAGGTCATGCTTTGATTCCTGCGCAGGGCACATGCCCGGGTGAGCTCGATCTCCAATGTGAGGCGTGCAGGAGGCAGCCGATCCATGATCCTCATCATTGATGTTTCTATCTCTCTCTTTCCCTCCCACATCTTTAAATGATTAAGTATAATAAAATGGTCTAAAAATCACTTAAAATGAAAACAGGATTAGGAATTCTGTGTGTAGCAATGCATGCGAAAAATGTGTGGAACATTAAAGAGTAATAGAGGAAAAGAAAGGAGTTCTAAAAATATATAGAGTATAAACATAGCTATAATTTTAGCAAGTGTTTTTATTTACTGATCTCCACTACATCAAACATAATTCATCTTCCTCTGTAAAAATGGAGAAAATCTGAGATAGTTCCTAGCAAGAAGGTGGTATTTGCCGAGAAACATTTTTTTGGAAGATGACTCTAAATGCAATCTATGCATTGCTTCCACACACTCCAGAGAGAATATCTGAAGGCAAGAGATCAATTAGTGGACCATCAAACTGATCCAGGGGACTTGATCCAAGTGGGATGGAAGCCGTGGGCCTGGAAAGGAAGGAGAACATGACCACAGACCTTGCTGACTGACTGGCACATGGGGGAAGGGAACTCCTTGTCTCTGCTCACCATGACCCGGAAGACTCTTTTTTACCCAATACTCATTTGGACAAGAGCCTCCTGGAGTTTCCAATAGGTTGCCATTAAAAACATCCAACTAGCCGAAACCGGTTTGTCTCAACGGATAGAGCATCGGCCTGTGGACTCAAGGGTCCCAGGTTCCATTCCGATCAGGAGCATGTACATTGGTTGTGGGCAAATCCCCAGTAGGGGGTGTACAAGAGGCAGCTGATCAATGATTCTCTCTCATTGATGTCTCTAACTCTCTATCCCTCTCTCTTCCTCTCTGTAAAAAAATCAATAAAATATGTTTAAAAAACAGAAAACAAACAAACAAACAAACAAAAAAATCCAACTAGCCGAAACCGGTTTGGCTCAATTGATAAGAGTGTTGGCCTGCAGACTGAAAGGTCCTGGATTTGATCCCAGTCAAGGGCATGTACCTTGGTTGCAGGCACATCCCAGTAGGGGGTGTGCAAGAGGCAGCTGATCGATGTTGCTAGCTTTCTATCCCTCTCTCTTCCTCTCTGTAAAAATTCAATAAAATATATATTTTTTAAAATCCAACTGGCATTCAAGACCTTCCACAATCTGGTTAAAACGTCTCTGATCTTAAATTATTTTTCTACAACAAATTCTCTGTTCATCTAGGATGCTGCTTGTACTGTTCACAAAAGAAGCTGCCTCTCAATTCCAGGCTTCCTGTTTGTGTCTGCTGTTGAGCTCCTGAAAATGTCCTCCTTCCCCAGACCTGCACAGCACCTGTCCTTCAAGGCCCGTGTCCACCTCAGCTCCGGAGAGCTCTTAGCTGGTCACCCTGGCTCACCTTGACCCACCCTCTCCACTTCTGCAGAACGTTCACTGTGGCAGCTCATCTCATGTTCCCTCCCATTGCTGTGTGCTCTATGTGATTGTCTTCCAGGGTCAATGTCAAGTTCCTACTGACGAAAGTTGTATTTAATACTCTCTCAGTGCCTGGTAGGATTCTAGTGATGGACTAACCCCTGGGACTTCGCTGCTCTCACCCCTCGTAATCTTTTGGGGTTCTCATCCTAGATGGCATCTTGTGTTACGTTAGAGTGGGAATCAAGTCAGAGCTATTCCTCTGCCCCCGAGAACAGCCGCAGTGGGAGCATTAGTAGGAATCAGCATGTTTTTCGTCATGACTATAATCAAGTCTAATGTTTGTTCAGAGGTAAGGATAGTTTTCGGTAGGTTTAAGACCCATCATGTCCTTATGCTCTTTCAAACAGAAGAATAGCTTAATGAGTAAACACTTCATTTCACATTTAAAATCAGCCTCAGAAAGGCAGACCAACCTATTTTTTCAAAAAGGGATTGGTTCAGGGAAGGAGGAGACACTGTCAGCGTGAGCCAATATTTGCAACACCGAATAAGGGAGATTCTAGGCGGTCTGTTGGACATGGCGAGGCACTTCTCAACAGCAAGAAGGTGGGTCCCCAAGACACATGGGCAAATGTGCCAGGTCTCCACTGAAGAGCCGTCTCTACTTTTGAGTTGGACTGGTAACTGCCAAAATGTTAAAGACCGTGACTATTGGGTAGACGAACTACTGTGCTCAAGATACTTGTGAACACAGCTTTGCAACGATGCTTGTCGAAATCCTGTGTTATTTTTCAATCAAAATCAAGCTTTAAGAATAATCCATTTAAAAGAGTGTATCTAGTGTAAGAGCCACATGAATACACTTCTGGGGGGGAAAAAAACAAAACTGGTCTGTAATGTGTTCGTTTGAGTCAACTGCCTACAAGTAAAGAGTACAGATGCCGACTAATATTTATTTTGGGGATGAGCTGACTGTCAGTCACCAGACGGGACTCCTCCCCACCCCCCACCCCGGTGCAGCCTGTATTTCAGCTGCTGCCAGTGGAAGTGCGGGAGCAGATGTGGGCAGATTGTGACATACAGGATGTCTTTAAAACTTGTTGGGGTGTGAAATTTCATAAGGTCAAAAAATGCTGCATTTTTGATCAGCAGATACAGGAGTTCTATACTTCTATAAATTATTTCAGACAAGCCAATAGCATTCGCTAGGAAAACAGGGAAACTGAGGCACCGCAATGGCCATAGGGGGCACGTGATAATTAATGCTGTTAATATTCTCAAAGCCAGTTCCTGTCATTTCAAAGCAAATGCTTGCCCAGAAGAGCTTCAGAATAAAATGTGTTACATCAATTCAAAATACAAGAGAGTATTTCAATTGATAATAGAATTAAAAAACAATTTTCTCCTGAAAAGAGTATATAAATATCTAATGAGCATTTGAGTGGGAAAAAATAATTTCCTTAACTAATCCATTTTTTTTTTAATGGAAAACCCAAGCATCCACTGATATAGAGAGGTTGTTTATTTTCTTTATTTTTTTAAGTTATTGCTTTTATCATTCAAATGATTTCACAAGTCCTTTGGTTTATTATTTAATCTTATTCTTAAAAAAAAAAAAGAGATAGTCATAGAAAAGACAAGGGCTCTATATAATGGTAAAATTACTTTCATAAAATTGAAGGATTTTTGTTATCTTGGATTTTGTTGTTGCTATTTTGCTGTATTTTTTATTATTATTTTTCAGCTTCAATCTTCCCTCATATCTTTTCCAAACGTAGTTAACAGGTAACCACATACAACCAAAACCAAAATTAAGAATGGTGTCCAGCTGAAACCGGTTTGGCTCAATGGATAGAGCGTCGGCTTGGGGACTGAAGAATGGTGTCCAGCTAAAGATTTTATCTCCATTAGGCAGGTTTATCTGCATTAGCTATTAGGCAGGTTTATTTGAACACAACTTTAAAACACTTTACTTCAGAATCAATACATAAAAACCCTTTCATTGATAATCAGTAAGTTGAACAGCCTCAAGTGTCTGGTCATAACATAGCAATAATACCTAAGTTCATTATCATTACCACTGTCTTTCAGCTTACTCTGTGCTATGTTCAGGCAAAAACATAATTTCAAAAGAAGTTTACATCACAAACATTTTATTAGATGTCTATAAGGATGAAAAGTTTAACTACAAACATAAAATCTCCTGTGAAAAATAATTTCTGATGGAAAGAATTTCTTTCTCATCATGCAACCACTTAGACGCTCTAAGATCGTGAGAGGAAACGGACTGGAAAGGCACTAGAAGCTACTGCGACATCTTCCAACTGTGTCCACCCCCAACCATGTCCTTCCAGCAACCAGATCCTCCCCAACCATGTCCCCCCAGCAACCATGTCCACCCAGCAACCAGGTCCATCCAATAACCAGGTCCACCCAGCAATCATGTCCAAGGGCTTTGTTTGCATTTGGTAAATGTTAGGATATAGTATAGAAAGAATTTCTAACCTGCAGCATACATTCGGGGAACTATAATGATCACATTCAAGTGCTCACTATTAAAAACATTAAAGAATTAATTACCAAAGACCACCTATCATTGCTCATCCTTACTGGGCTTGATCCCCAGTAGGGGGCGTGCAGGAGGCAGCCAATCAATGATTCTCTCTCATCACTGATGTCTCTCTCTCTCTCTCTCTCTCTCTCTCTCTCTCTCTCTCTCTCTCCCTCCCTCCCTCCCTCCCTCCCTCCCTCCCTCCCTCCCTCCCTCTTTGAAATTCTATCGAAGCTGAAATTCTCTCTGCTGTTAACTACAAACCTCAGCTTTCTCATCAGCGTCTCATAGAAAAGAGACCTGACACATGAGGTCACACGAATAAAGACATACAAAGTGAGCAGACAGTTGCAGTGAACTTACTTGCCACGGAGAAGTTGTTAAGGGGGTAAGGTAGGTCCACGTCTTGAGGTTTCTCTTTGTAGCCTATGAACGAGCCATCTGTCTTCAGAATGAAATACCGTGGCCTCCAGTTTTTTATGTATTCTCCTGCACGAGGAAAACACGCGTGTTAATGCCCCGGGGTGGGGGTGGGGGATGAACAGCAGCTTTTATGTGAGAAATGAATGATGGTACAATATATGTCCTACAACACTGGCCTCCAAAATTTTAGCCAGGCGATTTCCTTTACAAAAGAAAATAGATAAGCCGGCAATTCAGTTTCAATAACAACCCAAACATGTTTTGTTTTTAATGATTTCACACTCTGACGATTCGTCTGCATCGTTATTTCTTCAGAGAATCGTTCATCTGCGTTCACATCCTGTTCAGTTTTTCATTTTATCGGGTGGCTGTGAAGAGCATGCTTTCAGCCCTTTTCAAAAGCCTTGGTCAGTCACCCGCACGGCTGGCGTTGAGGGATTCCTATGAAACACACTTATCCTAAGGCGGATTATGAGACAAATGTTTCTCTTCCATGTGCCACGAACTAATTGTCCCGCTTAAAAACAAAAATAAAAATAAAAAACAGGGGGAGGGGAACTGAGTCCAGTTTCATTGTTAAATCCTAATCATAACTTCTTTAAACATTTTATTGCTCTACAAAGGAAAAGAACTTTCTGTGAAATGCTGTAAATAAGTCTTGGCAATTAAGAAACCTGGGTTAATAGAGCTTAAAAACCATTGACATAGACACACACACACATGCACGCACACACGCACGCACACACACAAATATAATAACTACAAAAGCCCATGGTACAGTGCTAAGCACATCACGGCCAATACATTTATCAGGTTTTGATATAAAACCTACCTAACCAAAATAGAGAAGTATAGCAACCAGGTCACCACTGTCTTACTCATAAAGAACTTTTCATCATCTGAAGCAAGGGGGGTGCCCTAAGATCCCACAGAGAAGTGAGGCCACCTGGTCTGAGTTGTCGGTCCATTGCTGCTGGCTGTTTCTACCTGGTGACTCAATCTCAAATGCTTGATTGCATGCGGCGCTACAAAAATGTGGATGTATCGATAGTTCAACTTTCCCGACCACTCAGCTTCTCCTGACCCCACTTATCTAAGCTCAAACCTAAGGCCTGACTGTTCCCTTAATTTAATTTAATTTTTAAAACATATTTTACTGATTTTTTACGGAGAGGAAGGGAGAGGAATAGAGAGTTAGAAACACAGATGAGAGAGAAACATTCATCAGCTGTCTCTTGCACACTCCCTACTGGGGATGTGCCCGCACCCAAGGTACATCCCCTTGACCAGAATCGAACCTGGGACCCTTGAGTCTGCAGGCCGATGCTCTATCCACTGAGCCAAACCAGTTACGGCTGCTCCCTTACTTTATCCCATCAGTAGTGAGGTCAACACTGCCCAGCCTAAACAAACCCAACCCCTCACGGAGGCCCTTCTGCTCATGCGCTCCACCTGCTCTCCATTCTACTCACCCTCTCCACCCCCACTTCTTCCCCGATGCATCTGTCACCTCCAGATTACTCTCATATCACTTTTCAGCTCAACAATTCTGACTCCTCAGCCAGCTGGCGTGGCTCTGTGGTTGAGTGTCGACCTATGAACTAGGAGGTCCTGGTTTGATTCCTGCTCAGGGCACATGCCCTGGCTGTAGGCTCTATTCCTGGTGTGGGATATGCAGTAGGTAGCCGATCAATGATTCCCTCTCATCACTGATGTTTCTATCTCCTCCCTTCCTCTCTGAAGTCAATAAAAATATATTTTAAAAAAATTCTGACTCCTTACTCTTGACTGCAAAGTGCAAGTCTCTTAGCATAGAATGCCAGCTCCTCCATCTCCCCCCCCTGACATACACCGAGTGGCCAGGTTACTATGATCTCTGAACGTATACTCTGGCCACTCAGTGTACATTCCAGATATGGAATCACTCCTCAGAATCAGCAATTCTGAAACTTCTTACCTCAAACCTCTTTACACTCATAAATACTACTGAGGACCCCCCAACATTTTCATTTTATATAGATTACATCTGCAATGTTTACTGTAGTAGAAACTGAATAAGATATCTGTTATTGCTTCTTTCAAAAATAATAAACACATTACATGTAATAAATATTTTGATGAAGAAAATTGCATTTTCTAAAGCAAAAAAATTATTAAGAAGAGTCGAACTGCTCTCCACTTTTGCAAATCTCTTGAGTGCTCGGCTGAATAGGTGGCCAGAGTCTTAACCTGCGGCAGTATGTTCTTTCCATTGGAATATGGGAAACCCGGCTCAGACAGACATGGAGCCGGAAAAGGCAAGAACAGTGACATAGTTACAGGTATCTTTCTTCGCTATCACACCAGCATTTGACGAGTGGTAGTTTCCTCAACAATCAATCACTTGTGATGTGGAATGAGAAACCATAACCAGGAACTTTCTACACTGTTCTGTGAAAATCCAGGGGTCTATACCCTGAAGGAATCTTTTACACGATGCATGCTTTTGTAACCTCACCCACCAGTTTTTTCAAAAACACTGGTCCACTGATCTCCCAAATATCAGCGCATTTCACTATATTGTATAATCACATTCGCTATCACTGCCAGTCTCATCCAAAAAGCACAAGCACTGGGAGCTGCAGGCTCACACTAGCAGATATGTCCTCCAAAGTTCAAGTTTTTGCTTGAAAACTCGATTTTTTTTAAATTTATTTTTTTAGCAATGGGGTGTGCCAGATACAGAAAACTTGAATCCTAGCTAAAGAAGGGAAAAAAATACCCAATGTCAAAACACAGCACTGGCATTACTTTTATTACTTTCAACCCTTTTTTAAAATAGAGGTAGGGTCTCAGAGGAGGAACTAGTCTTCCGAAGAAAAGAACAGAGTCTTAGGTCTCTCTGAAAGCTTTGAATAAATAGCATACACTGGATGAAGCACCATGAAAATGCAAATATTTTAAGAATTTCCAAAGAGTTTTTAACCAAAAATTGGCAGCTTTCAGTAAAATTTAATTTATACGATTTTCAGAAACCATTAGTCTTAGGTAAATGTCTTCATGGCTCAATAATCACTTAAGACAAAGGTTTAATGTTAATTTCAGTATGGAGTCTATTCAATTGTATGATTCACAATGTTATAAATATTGAGTTGCTGTTGACAGATACCAACTAAATGTACACAGAACTACTTAAAAGAATATATCAGAGTACGTATCCACTGGTGGATTCTCATTAAAAAAGTACTGGCACCATTGCCGAAACCGGTTTGGTTCAATGGACCATAAACAGATACTGAATATATCATTCATGATAGTGTGCTACATCTTTTTTTTTATTTTTACAAAGAGAGAGATAGAGTTAGAAACATCGATGAGAGAAAATCATCGATCAGCTGCCTCTTGCACACCCCCTACTGGGGATGTGCCTGCAACCGAGGTACATGCCCTTGATCAGAATCGAACCTGGGACCTTTCAGTCCGCAGGCCAACGCTCTATCCACTGAGCCAAACTGGTTTCGGCGTGTGCTACATCTTAAATATTAAAGCCAAATATAGTTCCTGAAGAAATACACGGCGAATGTAATAAAACATTTGCAATCTTTGAAGTTGCCTGTTGCATTTATATATGGCAGATCACAATGCCATCTCCCAGTTGGTTCTAAGTGAAAGCCGTCTTAACGTCTCAGGGAGGAGAGAGAATGTGTTTCTCGCTGATATTACCATCATCCTCTTTTACGTATGTCTTGAAAATAACGTTAACAAATTTCTTCTTGTTATCTACACTGCAATGAGATAGTGTAATAAGTTTTCAATTACACAGGGATAATCTGAAATGTAACTTAAAAAAAAAAATAAAAAATAAAAAAAGGAAAATGCTTTTGCATATTGTTGGTGCTCCCTAAATCTATGTTGATCTGGTTTTCCAGCCCTGACAAGCCTAAATGTTCAGGTTATCCTTGTCCTTTTATGAAGTCCTTTCAAGCCTGTCCTGTCTGCCTGGCCAGTGTGGCTCAGTGGGTAGAGCACCGGCCTGCGGACTGAAGGGTCCCGGATTCCATTCTGGTCGAGGGCACGGACCGTGGCTGCAGGCTCCTTGGCCCTGTTCGGGGTGCATGCAGGAGGCAACCGATGGATGTGTCTCTCTCACATCGACGTTTCTCTCTGTCTCTCCTTCTCCCTTCCACTCTCTCTATAAATGAATGGAAAAACATTCTCTGGTGCAGATTAACAACAACAGCAACAAAGAACAGTTTCCATATCTACTTCCCAGGCCAGGCGGGGTCCATGCTTTGCACTGAAGCTGCCTGCCTCCCTGGACCTCCAAGTGGCCCTGGCAGGCCCCGGTCTGCTGGCTCATTTCTGTTGTGACCAGAACACGCCCAGCCCCTCGATCCTGGTAATGGTTTCGTGGTATTCAGTAAATTAGTCCATCACTTCCCCGTTCCCTTCACTTTTAGGAAACACTGCCCTTTAAACCGAAAATATGATACTTTTTATTTTTTAGCGTAGAACATCGTCTTTTTTAAAAATATATATATATATTTTATTGATTTTTGTACAGAGAGGAAGGGAGAGAGATAGAGAGTTAGAAACATCAATGAGAAAGTGTCATCAATCAGCTGACTCTTGCACAGCCCCTAATGGGGATGTGTCTGCAACTGAGGTACATGTCCTTGACCGGAATCAAACCCGGGGCCCTTCAGTCCCCAAGCCGACGCTCTAACCATTGAGCCAAACCGGTCCTGGCTAGCATAGAACATCTTAATGGAGTTGTAGTATTAAGTTTTACTGTGAGAGAAAAGCAATAGAGGGGGAGAGGGAGCAGGAGGAAGAGGCGGAGGAGGAAGAGGAGGAGGAGGGGGGGGAGGAGGAGGGAAAGGGGAGGAGGAAGAGAAAGGGGAGGAGAGGGAGAGGAGGAGGAGGAAGAGGCAAAGGAGGAGGAGGAGGAGGGAAAGGGGAGGAGGAAGAGAAAGGGGAGGGGAGGGAGAGGAGGAGGAGGAAGAAGCAAAGGAGGAGGAGGAGGAGGAGGAGGGAAAGGGAGGAGGAGGAGGAGGGGGAGGAGGAGGGAAAGGGGAGGAGGAGGA